GTGGGAGTGTCCTGGGCTGTGGGAGTGTCCTGGGCTGTGGGCGTCTCCTGGGCCGTGGGAGTGTCCTGTGACGTGGGAGTGTCCTGTGCCGTGGGAGTGTCCTGGGCCGTGGGAGTGTCCTGGGCCATGGGAGTGTCCTGTGCCGTGGGAGTGTCCTGGGCCGTGGGAGTGTCCTGGGCCGTGGGAGTGTCCTGGGCCGTGGGATGTTTGGTCCTTTTCTGAACCTATGCTTACAGGACTGCTCCGGTGCTGCCCAGGGTCTCACACTCCTGTTTCCTTATGGCCCTAACTCAGGATGCCTCTTGGGCATTTGGGATGCTATAACTAACTTATAACCACCAGACAGAGTCAGACATTTGTCAGCTACTTTTCTGGTATCAAAATTATATTGTGGAGTCACCCACAGCCCGCAGACAGACACTGCCCTCTTAGTGTGTCGGTGTTTTTTGGGAAATTCTCGGGAACCCTTCCTTCTAGTCCCGGGAGACAGTACCGGCACTCTCAGCTCTCCCGCTTACCTGTTGGTGTGTACTAATAGAGCACCATGGGGCGTAGGCCTGCTGACACTGGTACCCCTGTTCCTGGTGACTCTGTCACCAGGCTGTCTGGTCTCTGTCCTGTGCATGGAACATGCCTGGTGACATTGGTGCCCTGCTCTTGCTGAGTCTGTCAGGCTGAGTGCTAGCTTCTGTGATCTCCATCCCTCACCTTGACTTGTAGCCTCTGTCCTGTACACTAGGCCCGCTCAACTCCCAGCACTCCCTGGCTCCTGAAGGGCCAGGCTTTCACTCCTCTGCTCCCTTCTGTGAGTCCCCTTCCCTAGGGGACAGCTGCTTCCTGGAATGCCAGTCTCTGTCCAGTCCTGTTTCAAACCACTGAGCCTCTCTGGGCTAAGACTGGCCACCCCCATCTCTGCCTAGAAAATCCCTTTTAGGTGTTAAGTGTTCCATCCACCATGGAGAAGTACAAGGTCACTGTTCCTTCAGGACTTGGTAATGAGAAGGCTGGGAGTACTTATGTGAATCGTTGGTGCTACTGTCTGTGGTTCAGTGTCTGAACCACTCCCACTAGCCAGTGCGCACTGTGGAGCCAATGGACTAAGTGTGAAACTGCTCTATTAACCGACCAACCTTCGGACCAGGAGAAAACATCCATCCTCAAATTGTCTTATCTGTAAAATGGGTACACTATCCGCCCCAGAGAGTGATGGCGAGGAGTGAGTGAAACAGTGGAAGTCACGATGCTTGCCACTGATTCTGTCACACAGGACATATCTAGTCAGAACTAGCTGCTGCTATTACCTTGTTCCTGACAGGCCCAAGCTCTGGGGCAAGACTATAAAGTCTGTGCAAAAGCGACAGGTCATATTAAATTACTTACATACCCCCATCCTTTCTTGCTTACTCTATGTAAACAGTGATACCACAGTCCTCTTACACTCCCAAAGTTTCAAGGAGTAATTCTTCTTAGTGGCTAGCTTGTTCAGGGGAACAGCCCTGGCAACAAGCCAGAAAAGAGACGGTCTGCTTAAGTACCTAAATGTTCCTCACTCTCTCCTTGCAGAGGTGTGTTACTGAGCATGCACACATGCATTCGCACATGTCATAACACAGATATAAACACTTCTACCTCTGATAACCATGTCACATATGCACACACCACATGCATACAAATACACCAGAAAACATGCATATGATGCATGTCCCCATCCGTATACACTTCTACCCACATGCACATACAGATACCGCATACTTATATATGCATGAACACTATACATGCACAAAGAATGGAGGGCATGGATACTGGTTGTGCTGATGCTGTTAGACTCTTTCCTTGCTGGTTTCAGTCCGGAGCAGATGGCCCAAAGACAGTCAACATTTTCCTTTCTCCAAATACAAATGCAAGCTCGGTGTGGTGGCTCACTCCTGTAATCCCAGCACTTGGGAGGTGGAGGTAGATGGATCAGGAGTTCAAGGTCGTCACCCTTGACTGTAAAGAGAGTTCCAGACTAGCCTAGACTACAGGAGACCCTATCTCAACAACAAAACAACAAAGTGAACAAATAAAAACCTGAACAATGGCACACTAGATGCAGTTCTGAGCAAGGCCTTGTTACCCTAAGAGATCTTTTAATAAAATCTTGATTTTCTATGAATAATGCAAGAGTAAAGCCAGGCATCCCTCATGATCAAAGTCTCATCTCTGGCATCATTTATTAGGCCTTATAGAAGGGGGAAAGGAATGCATCCGAGCTGAAGGCCCGCACTCCCAATTTGTGTTTATATGTCTGGCAGGGGACTCTTACATGGACTAATCCTGCCAGGGCAAAGTAAACTGTGTAGAGATTAAAGATTTTATTCCACAGGGAAGAACCTGATGTGGGACCCCAGGTGCTTTGATACAGGACTGTTTGCAAGGGCAGATCTGTGAGGGTGAATGCGGAATGAGATGTGGCCCTGCTAGAGCCCTGAATGGCACCAGGTAGAACAGGTTCCTGGCTGCCACTCTATCAGTTACAGGGACTGTCTTGCCTTTCTTCTTAGGCTTCCAAAGTGTCTTTCATCAGCAAGTACTGATTAGAAGGACTTACATTTTCAAGGCTAGGCACAAGGAATCCCCAAGTTAGCAGGGGGCAGAATGTCAGGTCTCTCAGTGCAGGAAAAGAACTAGGTAAGGAGAGTCAGGGTGAGGAGTGTATGGTTGTATCAAGAGCAATGACTGAACCAGTGTAATCTTGTATGTCTGTCTGTCTTTTCCTCCCCCAACTCAGATCAGTTTAAGTTTGTACAAACAGCCAACTTGCATTCTGCACATCAGACACAGACCGACCCTCTCACTTGGGTTCAGAAACTGTCATCCTCGGAAAACGAGCTGTGTGTACCCAGGTTGCAGAATGCCACGGGAGGCCGACTGAGCACATCCGTGGAGAGCATGCAAGGCAGCAAGAAGATTGGCATGGAGGGAATCAGAAACAGGTAGGTTTTGTTTTTCTTCAGAGCCAAGACCACCAGGTGTGTGGTGCACTGGCACCATCTGAACCTGAAGCAGGTTTAAAGTCAACGGTCTTTAATGCCGAAGGATGGAGTATGTTCACTGTGTTGCTTTTAACTTGATCCAGAGATCGACTCTAGACCACTACAATGACTGACTAAGCTGATTGCCATCATGCCAGGTCTCACTCCCATACCCTTCTGTTCATACCTTCTGGTAAGAAAGAGCTAGGTGGTAACCGGAAGTTGAAGAAGGTAAAATTAGCAAATGCCAACAATCACCTTTGGACTATCATAAGCTGGGTACTGCTCTTGGAGCTTGTTCTGCAGCCCGCAGAACTCTGTGAAGTTGGTTTTATCATTATCTCTGTTTTCCAGAAGGGAAGCTGAAGGGCTAGGACTTAAAGACAGCCGCCCATCCTGGAGACTGTCCTGGTAACCCTGACAAGCTGCTACTTTCCAGGCTGATGGCTTGCCATTTAAATTCGAATGTGAAAGCAGCGAGCTCATAAATGCAGCGTTCATTGTAAAACAATGATCCATACGTTTAAAAATAGCCCAGAACTTGGATTACACTTACAAGGCAAGTTACATAAATAGCACCGATTCCCAGGCTATGTGCTGAGGAGGGGGTGGGGTGGCAGGATCCGCTTTGGGGGGGGAGATGAGTTATACATCTGCTTCAGCAGGAGAGAATGGATGGCTTCAGTTCAAATAACTGAAATACATGCATATACACAGAAACCTTAAAGAAAATTATTGCTCCAATTCTACTGATGCAAATGTGCCTCACTCTGCGGTACAAAATCAATCAATAACGAGGAAGCAAAACTCATTCTGAGTCTCCACGGCAAACCACCCCAAGAACAGTGGCATAAGCCCAGCAGCCATCTTATTATTCTGCTTCACAACTTTGTGGGTTAGAAAAGGAGGCAGGACTTTGCTTTGTGTGATATTGAGGGCATCATGGCGGTCAACAGCAGGTACCCCCGTATGGAGGTGGCTGGGATATCCTGGATGCTGGCACCCTCTAGCCCCATGCAGCCTCAGGAGGCCCTAACCATATAGGGGCTCCAGCAAGGGTCTCCACTGCTGCTCTGGGCTCTGAGAACTCGGGGAGAGCTTGCCAGTGGTCATACCGTGTAGCCCAGAGACCAGCACACATCTGCCATCACTCCTGGGTTCATACAAATTCAAAGGGACTAGAAATGGGCCTCGTCTCAGTATGTGAGCATCAATGGATTTGTGGTCTCTTTTACCTGTCACCCATTGGTTTAGAGGACTTTATAGCACTTCATTGTTTACCAGCAGAAGCAGGACTGTGAGGAGTCAGCAGCCAGGGGAGATCGCTGCCCTGCCTAACAACCCAAGTTCTGTTCCTGGTGCCCACATAGCAGAAGGAGGAAACCAGCTCCTGAAAGTTGTCCTCTGACCTTTACACACACTGTAGCATGTGTGTGCCTCAACACACACACACACACACACACACACACACACACACACACACACACACACAATTTTAAATGTAAAGAAAAATAGAAAATGCAGAAGTAACTATGACCTATTCCAGGCCATTGTGCTAGCTTTCTTTTACTGTAACAAAATACCTCACGTAATAACTTTCAAAAGAGGTAAGGTTAATTCTGGCTCAGTTTCAGTCCAAAACTAACTGGCCACCCTGGTTTTGGACCTGTTGTAAGGCAGCACACCATGGCAGGAGTATGTGGTAAGAGAAGCCCGTTCGTTTCTTGTGGGTAGCAAAGAAAGGATAACTAGAGGAAGGGACTGGGGGGTCTACTCTCTCATTCCTCTAAAGACCTCTGTTAAAGTTTGGATAGCAAGTGTCTTTCAAAAAAATCTCATATGCTGAAAACTTGCTTCCTGCCTGGTGACACTATTCTAGGAAATACTGGAAGATTTAAGGGATGCGATTTAGCTAGAAGTAGGTCACTGGGGGACAGGTCCTTAGGAGCATATTGTCCCTGTCTGTCTCTCTCTATTTCCGGTCTGCATGAGGTGAGCAGCCTCTGCCACACGCTTCCGTGATGCTCTCCTTGGCCCCAGTGGCACTCAGTGTTGCGGAGGGCTGTGGCTTGAAACCCTTACAGGGAGCCACAATGAATCCCCCCACCCCTTGCATTGCTTCTACCAGACATCACAGTAACACAGTCTGTCAAGATAACCTCTTTCCAAGCCTTACCTCTAAAGGTTCTTCCTCCCAATAGACCCACAGCCCGGGCCCAAGCCTTTAACTACACACGGGTGCTGGAGGACACTTATTAAAATCATAGCAACCACATAAGAAATGTCTCGACAGCATGGCAGCCATGAGAACAGTAGGGCTTGAGTGTCTTCCCATGTAGGAGCTTTACAGCACTGCCTGGCAGCCTGCCCTCTGACAGGAAGCTGAGCGGAGCCTCCCGCCAAACCCACTCCTTACACTCCTTCTTTACGCAGTTGCTTTTTAAATGACCAACTTCCATGGTTCCTAACAACTCACATCACAGAGGTTACTGGTGACCTTTAGGCAAAGCAGGAAACCCCAGGACTCGTCTGAGTCTTTGGCCATCTGGTAGTCCACCAAGAAATACAGCAGGAACCCATGACTTGGGGAAGGTGGGGCTTATGAGTGGGAAGGAGTGAGCAAGAGAAGTGGGAGCGTTAGTCCAAGGTGGGGGTCAGGAAAGAGCTACTTCGGGGGACCAGGGCTCAGCTCCACCTGGTGTTGGAGCACTTGCCCTGAACTCGAGGGGAGGTGGTAGGAACCTGTCCCTTTTTATGGTGGTCAGGATGGGTTTAAGGCCTAAGTCAGGCAAAGGTATAGTGGAGTGTGTGTGTGTGTGTGTGTGTGTGTGTGTGTGTGTGTGTGTGGGTGTGGGGTGTGTGTGTGTGAGAGAGAGAGAGAGAGAGAGAGAGAGAGAGAGAGAGAGAGAGAGAGAGAGAGACATCAAGTCTTAATTGGCAGGTAAGATTGTGTTTAATTAGACAGAGGGGAGAACTGACATGGACAAGCCTATCAGTCTAACTAGAGTAGTTTCTTCAGCATCTGTCCTGGGTGGGTGCTGAGGATTCGGTATTCACAGCACAGACTCGGTCCATGTTGTTTACAGAGAGCTCTGAGTACAGAGATGTTGGCTACCTTCCCTTCATCACCTCTCTGAAGCCTTTTCTGGCTGCCCAGTGAAGGGCTGGCTCCTCCGCTGCACTGGTTCCATTTAGGACAGCTCCCACCCCCCATGTGTGCCCACCCCGACAAGCACATGCTTTCATCCTTCTGCTCTGAGCACAGAGACTCCCAAGAATAGCAATGCACCAGTTGTATCCTCAGCTCTGAAGCCAGAATGTGGAAGTTTTCAGTAAATGGATTTTGAGAGGTTGGCATTTTGAGAAAGAGGGGGGGGGAAGCACTCTTTAATTGTGGTAAAATACACAAAGCATAAACTGTATCATCGTAACTATTTTATGCTTTCCATTTTATTGTTTCCAAGGCAGTGAGTGGCATTGGGCACATTCCCATTGTTGCTGGGCCTCACAGGGTCTTCACCTTCCCACGTGGAAACCACCTTCCCTCAGCACTTCCACCCAGGCTAACCCTAACCCAGCCTGGGGTACCCACTATCTACTTTCTGTCTGTGAGTGTGACTCCTCTAAGTTCCTCCTATAACAGCTCCCCCATACACCACTTGTTCTTTTGTGGCCAACAGGAAATGGATTTTCAACAATTGAGAGCTGGTTCCCCAGTAGCCCAGATCACGTGAGCCACAGAAACCCAGGCCAGATAAGCCCTTGCTATTCTTCAAAGGGCACCCAGCAACACTGCCCAAGCCCTTCTCAGGTCCTCCCTGGGTGTTGGGATTTTTCCTTCCCATGAGCCTGTGGGACACTGCCAGTGTCTCTCCCTGTGCACTTAGGTGGGCTTGGAAGCCTGGTGCCGCATAAACCTTCCAGAGGGCTGGCCCATCTCTGACTCACATACCTTGCGAGTCCAGGCCTGGCCCCTTAGTGGGTTTTCATCAAATTGGGTTGGACTTGCCGTAGGACCAGAGGCAAAGGTGAGTAGATACAGAACGAGGCTCCGCCCTGCTTAGGCAGAGCTGTTCTGGTCTGCCCCATACAGAACGAGGCTCCGCCCTGCTTACCTGCTTAGAAAGAGCTGTTCTGGTCTGCCCCTGCTCCCACCGCAAGCTCCACCTCCCAATCCTGGGGACGCTGGGAGGGTCCATGGTCAGCTGCCTGCACCAACACCCCCTGCAGCAATCCAGTTGTCTAATCAGTGTGGTAAGGGCAGCCTCCCTGGTGTTGGGACAGACTGAGTGACGTTGATCTGGTGGTTGGCTGTTCCCAGAGCTCTGAGCACACACAGATTGGCATCTGTTCTTACGTTCTGCGCTCTGCTCCTTCCCGAGTGTGTTTTTGAGGTGGCCCTGGGTCACTTGGTTCATTATCAATCTGCTGTCTGAAACAGGCTTTGCTTACTGGAATATTAATTATATGCACTAGTCTGTTTTCTGTTGCTATGAAAATGATGCACAAGGCTGGGTACTTAAAGGGAGGAAGGGGTTTAGGTAGCTTACATTTCGAAAACTGAAAATCCAGACAGCATGGTGCTGGTTCTGCTGGACCCTCAACCCCCACCCCCAGCTGCTTTATCTCACAGCAGATGGCTTTGTGGGATGCATATTAGAGAGACTCAGTGGAAAGCGGGGGTCAGGGGCCAGGCCAACCTTGCCTTTTTAGAACTCTCTATCTCAGAGAACTAACAGGGGGTCCCATAGGAACTAATTAATCCCTTCCAAGGAGGGCATCCCTAGTGACCTAATCATAACCCACTAGGCTCCTCTTCTTAAAAATCCCTCTGGGACAGAGACCTAATGCCATTCCTGCTCATGTTGTCTTCCTCACTGACCCACCCTGTGGGGGAATTGGTCTCAGGATCTGCTGAATTGCTTAGCACAAAACTGCCTTCTTCGGGCCACACTAACAAATGGCCAAGAAGATCCCTTCCAGGAGCATCTGATCTTACATTTGCATCTTTCCCCTCAGCCCTTACACTGGCCGAGAGCAGCTGAACAGCGTCAGTTTGATCCAAAAGCCAACTCAAAATCTCTCTGGGACAGCTGTTCAGAGCATGCGCACAGGTATGACCAAACTGTGGGCAGGTGTAGGGAAGAGAGGCCTTCCAGGTGTCACCTCTTCTCAAACCACCTCTTCAGTTTGTTTCCCAAGGAAAGTTCGCAGTCATTTTGCTTTAAAAATTCTTCTCAAAACCTTTTGGAGTTGGGAAGACCTCTCAAAGTCAACATCTGCCCTTGGGTGTTATATGAATCTAGAAGGGGATATTTTTTTGGAGGTGGTTCCCAAAACTGTGGTTGAGTATGAGGAATATCAGCTCTGCTGCTTCCCAGGGGCTCACAGTATCTCTCAGTGCTCCCCAGAAAGCATGCACATGGAGAGCAGCATGCTTTTCTCTACAAGTTCCCAGTCAAAAACAAAGACAGAGAACTAAGAAGAGTCCTGGTCCTTGAAGGATGTTAACCCAGAAGCCAGATCTGAATGCAGTCACATCTCTCTTCTGTTAACTAAACTGCCAGACTCAGTTTCCTGGGGGAGGAAAGATGTGAATTGCCTGTGGTGGTCGGTCACCAGTGGGGGATTTTCCTGCCGGAACTGGTGTAGAAATCGTGTCCGACCCCAAGACTCCAGCTTTCCAGGAACAGCTTTAGGCGTCTGCTTTGTGTCTCCTCCAGACACACCTGGGAAGTATTCCAGGACATGGAAGCTGGGCCATCAGGCCCTGCACTTTGGTGAGTGGTGGAGACCCAGCTAGCTTTCCTTTATTAGAACAAATTTCCGAGAGAAGTCAATTTTCAAAAAGGGAAGGCTGGAAGACAGAGGCAGGGCCATCTCTGTGAGCTGAGGCAAGCCTGATTACATATCAAGTTCTGGCCTAGCCAGGGCTGCATAGTAAGACCCTGTCTTAAAACAAAAAATAAAGGAAAGGAAAGGTTTATTTTTACCCATGACTTCAGAGGTATCAGTCCAGGTTGCTGGGCCCTGTTGCTTCGGGCCTGTGACAACAGAGTGTATCGTAATAGGAGTGGATGATGGGTGAGGCCTGTTCACTGATGAGAGTCAGGAAGCAGAAAGAATGACCAAGAGACCGTTGTTGAGTATCCCCTTCAAGACCACACACGCAACGACTCAATTTCGATGCACCTTTAAGGCACCTTCTCTTAAAGGTTGCATTCCCTCCAGTAGCAACACACAGTAGCAACAAAGCTTTCAACTCATGGTCCTTTGGGGAACATTCAAGATCCAAGCTATTACAAGACTCAGAGGGGAAGACTTTGCTGTCTCATCTCTGTGTTTAGTTTCAGTTATCACTGACAGGAAGTACAGCCCCCACTTACCCTCCATCTTGTCTCAAGACCAGTGCAGGAAAAAAGTTAAGTGAGCATGGTGGCTCATGCTTATAATCCAAGTGCCTCAAACATGGCAGAGTGACCAAGCCTTTGTAGCCAGTGTTGGATTCATAGTGAATTGGAGGCCAGCATGGGTGACATAGAGACCATGTCAAAAAAAATGACAAGGACTAGAGGTTTAGCTCAGGGATAGGACACTTGCTTAACATGTACAAGATCCTAGGCTCCATCTCTAATACCAATGGGGAGGGCTTCTGGAGAATTACTCAGAAAGCAGACCCCGTCCATCGGCCATCCTGCCATGGTCTCCACTCTTGCAGCCCAGTGTTGACCAATGTTGGCCCAGTTGTGTTCCAGTCAAATATGTGCTCAGTGATCTGTTCCCAGGCTGATGGGAGATTTGCTGTGAGCTGCTCTTGCTTGGATGTGTGTGCATTTTGTTGGGTTCCAACTGATTTGGGAGGAAAACCCAAATATGGTGCTTTGATTCTGCCTCCAGAGTCACAGAACAGCTGGAGGAAGAGCTGTGCGGAGGAACCCAACCCAGACATCGTGTGTGTGACATTGAAGCGTGATCCACATCGTGGTTTTGGTAAGAGGGCTCCTTGAAGGGGAGGCCCAGGTTCTGCTCTGCACAGGGGGAATGAGCACCGTTCATCTCCCCAACCTGGCCTCTTCCCTTCTACCTTGCATTTTTCAACAATCCCTTGCATTTTTCCTTCCTTTCAGTGTCTGCAAAGAACACAAAGACTTTGGGGACGAAGGATTCCTTGCAAGTGCTGATGTATTTTCAGGGTGCATCTAAACACAAGATAAAAATAAAATCCTCTCTCCCCACACACCTCACACTGACCTTTCTCTAGTATAAATAGGTTCTTAGTGATGTAGAGGAGTAGGCAATCTTTCGTATCTTCAATTATCAGTCACATTTAAAAATGCTTAAAATCACGTAAGAAGAAACAACACTGAGACAGGATATTTGGTTAGAAATCATCTTTCCTGGGAATGGGGAGAAGGCTCCATTAATGAAACACTTGCCATGCAAATGTGACAGAGTTCCAATCCCCAGCACCCACATCAAAAAGTTGGGTGTGTGTGAAATTATGCCTGTAATCCTGGCACTCAGGAGGCTGAGACAGGGATTCCTCCAGCAAGCTGGCTAATGAGACCAGCTGAGTCAGTGAGCTTTGTGTTCAGTGAGAGACTGCCTTGATGAAGTGGAGGGGCTGAAGCCCACGAGATGACTCACAACTGTCACTTCAGTCTCAGGGGATAGGACACCTTATTCTGGCCTCCACAGGCATCCCACACACGTGGTACAGAGACAGACATGGAAGTAAAACACCCACAAACATACAAGAAAAAGAACTTATACAGTAATTAGCAATGCAGGAAGACATCCAGAGTCAAACTCTGGGGCTCCCCGTGCACACGCATGCGCGCACACGCACACGTATGTGAACTTGCACACATGGAAAACACACACACAGATGGGGGTGGGCAACCCCATCTCCTGCCACGAAGCCAGCTGTGTTGGTGGGCTGCATTTCCAGCTTCAGCTGTAGGTGGTAAAGGGAGCAGTCCGCTTTCTCCAGGCGTCTTACTCAGATGCAGTTATCAGCCGGGCCACTCGGTAGTTGTGTGAGCCACGGAGTCATTAAACATCATCTTATCATCAAATGCCATCTTGGATTACAGGTTTCGTCATTAATGAGGGAGAAGACGCAGACCAAGCAAAGCCAGGCATTTTCATATCTTCCCTTATACCTGGGGGACCAGCAGAAAAGGCTAAAAAGATCAAACCAGGTATACCTTAAGTTAAATGGCCAGAGATGTTTTAAGTTACCACCTTTCTTATTTCCTTGCTGGGGTTATTGAGGCTTTTTTTTTCTCCAGGAGGGAAGATACTAGCCTTAAATCACATTAGCCTGGAGGGCTTCACATTCAACATGGCTGTTAGAATGATCCAGAATTCTCCTAACAACATAGAATTAATCATCTCTCAGTCAAAAGGTACATTTCATCTCACTTTCCGCAATGGAACAGCCTCCTCTGTTACCACCTTGGGCACAAAACACAAAGCTCCATGTAGGTCTTTTGTGTAGCTCTCAGCAAGCATGGCCCTGGCTTGCAAGGAGGCAATCCAGTGGCACAAATCAGTACTCTGGGCAGTCTCAGGGGCAGAATGGGGTCCCGTGATTGCATGTCTTTCTGGAAGGCAGCCGTCTCCTCATTAGGCATGGCTGCATACACCCAGTGTATATGTGTTTCTGCCCACTCTCCTTGGATGACAGGGAGGGAATTCTTATTGACACTCAAGTCCAAGATTTCTACCGCTGAGCTCAGGTGGAGCAGTCAGCTGTGCCGCTGGGAAGGAGAGGGAGATTGTCTTCAGTCCGCATCAGCACAGCAAGCACAGTGTCCTTGCTGGTGTAGTCCTGTTGTGGAAGGGTTGTTTCCTTCATCCTTTGACTTAAGAACAACAGCCAAGCAACCAACACTTAGGCCAAAGAACAATATTATGCTTGTTTGGGGGTGTTTTGGTGGGGTTCTTGATAGAGGGACTGGAGGGAGGCTGGCATCCTCTCCCCCTGGTTACTAAGGACCACTGATGCTGTTTTGGCTTGGTGATCTGGTAAATTACATGAGGCGGCCTGCAGACTCAGGCTCATCTCTAACTGCAGACATCCCGCCTTCTGTGCCCTTGGAAAACCAGTGTCACACTTGCAGATGCTGTCACCCGGCCGCTTCCTCTCACCCTCACTGCGGGCAGCTGCACTAGGGTCGTCCACACTGCCTCTGGGGCCAGGCTCAGCAACCCCATCACGCTAGCCTCAAGATCACTGTCTCTGTTGGAGGTTACAGTTCTGACCCCTCTTTCTGAGGCACATCCGTAATCTTTGGATGTTCCTTCACACTCTCCGCATCGAGGGCATTCAGTTCACTTCTTGTGTAGTCAGGCAATAACACCAGACGATCAAATCACAATTCAGCGTAGTCCAAGGACAGACTACCACAATGGCCAAGATGTTAAAAACTGGTAACCAAAATCTACAGTGTTCTCACCACAGTCTTGTGTTAGAATTCCAGACAACAGGTACGCCCACTGTCTGGGGGTTACATACTATCTCCCTGTGGCTGCCCAGACACTTGTCGGGAACATGATTTTGCTACAGTTGATATTTCTACTGAGCCGGTCTGTTGCTGGAGGAAGAGGTCTAGTGATGGTATCCTGGTAAGGCAGCTGTTCTGGACTGGATATCAGGAGCCAGTCGCTAGCAGCTCATGATGAGCAGCTATGAGAGTCGATTGTAAACTGGGTTGTAATCACCCACAGAAGGTCAGGGTCCTCTAGAGCGGTGGGACCGATAGAATGACTATTTAGTATAAAAGGGGACTTTTTAGACTGGCTTACATGATGTAGGCCAGCAACAGTGTCTGTCTGCACCCTGGAGAGGATGAGGACAGTGGCTGCTTAGTCCAGGAGGCTGGATGCCTCCACTGTCCCATTTGGCACTGAAGGCCTGGAAGATTCCTGGGAAGCTGCTGGCCTTCAGTTCACACTGCAAGGCTAAGGATGGATACTCAGAAGCAAGAAGAGAAGGTCCAGAAAGTAAGCAAGGCCACTTTCCCTTGGGTCTCTACATCTGGGCCAAGGTCAGAAGGTGCTGCCCACTCTGAGGAAAGGCTTACCCTCAGTTAATCATTCCTGGAAATGCCCTCACTGACCTGCACAGGGATACAACTCTTAGCTGATTCTAGGGCCTATCAAATTGCCAATCACAATTAACCAACATGACTCCCAGCTTACACTTCTACTACACAAAGAACATGGCTCCTCATGATGGACTGTTAGCTGCTGGCTCCTGATACCCAGTCTAGAACAGCTGCTTTAACTGGAGACCATCACTGGACCTGCTCAGTAGGCTGGCTAGGACAGGCTGACTTTTCAGGTCTAGAGTCCCACCCTCTGCTCCCATGAAGGCTATGGTAGAAAGTGAACAGATGTTTGTAATACTGCCCAAAGGACAGTGACAGTGGACTTTGAGAAAAAATGATCAGGAACATGGCATTACAGACTGGCATCCCTGCCCCCCCCCCACTCCATATCAAAGAGATTTGGATAAAGACCAAATGTATTAAATCGAACTCATTGGATATGTGAGCTTGTGCATTTCCTGGGTGCCAGTAAGCTGTGTCAAAGCTGGAAATCTGCCTGTGCATTCCCACCCCCAGGTCTGAAGGAGCTCTGTTAGCCTTTCTCCAACACGCCTCTGCCGGGCCACTAATAGTGTATTAGCACAGTATCAGTAAATACATTTGCTGATTTATATATGCCAGTCTGTATGTGTGTGAAGTGTACATATGTATGCACACACACGTTTATATATACATACAAACTCCTCAGTCTGTGAACAATCTCTTCTACTAATCCCGCAATGTTATGCTACTGACATATCTGTTTTAGATATAAAGAAACCAAAGGCCAGAAATGTTAGTTATCTCACTCCAGGCTTTACCTATTGATCCCCACCTCATATTATTTTCCTTTGTTCTATGCCAGTTAGAGTGAGTGGGAATCCACGTCCCGCCTTCTCTTAGAGGAGCCCAGAGCCTGGCATTACCAAGGATACTACATGTGGGTCTTTTTGTCACGTGCTGGTAGCAGATGTGCTCCTCAGAGCTTTGCAGAAGGTCAGGGTTTAGAGAAGCCCGGCGTGTTCAGTGTGGGAATCAGGACAAACTAGTTCATTCTTTTGATTCTGTTTTAATTCATTCATTAAATAATTAATCTAGTTCTAATTAAACTGAGGTGACACCTTCCTGGTAGCCTATTGAGAAGATGAAAAGATCTCATCACCCTCTCTTCTCTGCTCCTTTGCTCTCCTCCCCTCCCCTCTCTTTCCCTCATCTCTTTTCTTCTCATATCCCTTCCCATCACAAGAATGACAGACATTTAATAAAGAGGGGCTGGCATTCTTCACTATCCTTGCTTCCATGTTTTAATAACTGAGTCATACAAGTGACTTCTACCTACATTTCTGATCACTTCTAGAATCTTCTGTTTATTCTAGATGCAACATTCTTCATGAAATGCTGAATTCATAGCACCCTCTGCAACTATAAAAGCTCTCATCTCTCAAGGAAAATTCTGTGCCTCGTAGGATGCTACTAGTATGCTAACCTCTCCAAGCATTGACTTCTTGGCTTGTTTTTATAGGTGTTTGTGGAAATAGTTCCAGTGAAGAAAAGAACAGCACAACAAGTTCTGGCATGTTCTGTACAGACATCCTGAGCAATGGGCACCAGGGAACAGAGTCAGCACACACATATGACCAGGACAGAAACATCAGAGGACCGGAATTGGCTCAGGTGCAAAGCTTACCACCCAGGCAGGGGCCTCCACCCTCCCCTCTATCATTACAGATGCTTATCTTCTTGGTCCACATCCTAGAATACAGAAGAAAGAAAATAGAATGTGGAGTCCAGGGGAGCTCCCATGTCCTATACTGTCCTGTGCTCTTGATGGGCCAGGTCAAGCAGCTACACGTTGCTTAACCTCTTCCTGGGAAGCAGGTAGAGCTACTGACACAGGGGGTCAGGGCTCAGGTGGAGCCTCTGGGGTTCCTAGTCTTTTATTAGAACTGTTTCTGATAATGACAACATGAGGGAATTGACTGATGCTGTAATCACAGCCTTTGGGAGGCTGAGGTCAGAGGATTGCTACAAATATGAGGAAAGCCTGGTCTATGTAGCAAGTTCAAGTCTAGTGAGGTTTACATAGTGAGAGTTTGCCTTAGTCCCCTCTCACTCCCCAAAAAAGAGCTGGGCATAGAGTCAGAGAGAATAATAATGATAGCAATAGTTGTTGGCTTATGTGTCCAGCAATATCCTGGGCACTTTATGTGAGCAATCTCACAAAAGCTTGATGACAGTTATATGAGTTAGTTATGACTGTCAACCCCTCCTGTAGTATTTTTACCCAGGGCACAAAGAGAAAAGGATTGTGCTAAAGCCTTCAGGGAATTAGTGGTAGATTTGAGCCTGAAATCCATGGTGTTAGACTCCAGAACAGAAACCATGCTCCAGGCTGCCCTTTAGAAGGCTCCCTTCTGCAGGAAACAGCAGAAGGCTCTGTGTGGTGGGAAACCTGCAGACTGGTTTTAGGAGCAGTTGGGAGGGGACTAGTTTAGAAGCATCTGTAGAACCTATATCCTCGGGCTCTGTTGGACCATGTGTCCAGCTTTGTGTCCAGGTAACCAGTGGTGTAGTGGATATTACATAGCCACTTTGGATCTCATCCATGGCAGTTGTTTCATACCTCAAGATTCAACAGTTAGTCGAAACATCTTGCCAAATCAAGGGGTGTGGAGTCCTTGGAAGAGCTGGCACTTCCTCTGTTATATACTAAACTCTTCAGAAGCTCTTCTATTGAAATGATGGTTTTCAGTTTACTTCAACTCATTTATTTTCCTATGAGTTAATAGTATTTTCCAACATGGAGCAGGAATCTCCATGTTGCATGGGGCAGTGGAACGTGGACAAGGGGAGCATTGTCTGGAAGCAAGGGTCAGCCAGCTCAGCACACCTGTGGGAACTCCAGGTGTGCCCTTGAGTTTATGTTTCAGTCAAACCTGGCTTTGCGTTTCAGTTTTTCCCTATACTAGCTGCATCTCTGAGCATCCAGGTAATAACACTCTCTTTATCATATCCACGGTAATTTATTATCACAAAAGTTATTGGTTGTCAGATTGGGAATCTCCTTGCTAAAAGCCTCAAGCCCCTTAGACAGCAATTTAGCATGGGTAGGTGGGTCTCATCACCGTCTCCAGCCACTTGCATTGTAGTGCCAGGTTCTTATTCCCCTTCCTGTTGCCATAATAGAGTGGGTGAATAACAAACAAGGGTTTATTTGGATAATGATGTGGTAGCTGGGAAGTCCCAGATCGAGGAGCCACATCTAGTGAAGGTTACTATGTTATGTCATGATGTGGTGGGAGGCATGATATGGGGGAGAGTGTTCATGAGTGTCAGAAATGGAAAGAGAAAATGGGGACAGATTTCTCCTTTTTATACACAGCCTACTCCTATAGCAATGCATTCATGAGGCTTGTGGCTTCATGACCTAATCACTCTGAAAGTTTCATTTCTTAGTATTGTATTAATGGTAGTTAAATTTAAGGGTGATTTGTAGAGGAGATGTTCAAACCACAGAATAACCCTGGACATAATAGGTATCCAACAAATGTCTTATGAATAGTTGAATGGATGAACAAGTCATGTAGTTATTGCCACAAGTACCAAGGAAGTTGCCTGGTACATGGTATGATCTTTTTCGTAAAATTTCAGCTACTGAAAACTCAGCCATAACAAGACCAGTCTTGGTAAGAATGGTCAGAATCCTGAGATTTGCTTTTGCCTCGAGGAGTTATTGTGTGTCTGGTAGCCAGCATGCTGTACTTGGCTGCCATCATGTGTTGAATGATGCAGGAAGTACTTGGACAGCTTCAGTTCTAACATGGGTGTTTGCCAAGTGAGTACAGACAGGAGGGATCTACATTTATTCAGGCCCTGCCATGTGCCAGCACAATCACAGTCACAGTTAGAAGGCACTCTCAGAGTTATACGGATTAGGAAATGGAGGCCAGACTCAAACAAAGTCCTGCAAGGTCACATGTGAAGGAACTGATAAGGCTGGTGGTGTCTCTCTAGGCTCACACTCTTTCTGGGTTCATTGCTGCCGGCTCTTAGTAGCGATGAGAGTTGGGTATCTGCAGAGGCAGAGGAGGTGCCTCATGGCTCCGTTTTTCTTTTTGTTTGGGGCAGGCCGCTGCTTATTGTCCTCCATCACCTCTAGAAACCAACGCTGGTGAAATCTACTTCGTGGAGCTCGTTAAAGAAGATGGAACACTTGGATTCAGCGTGACTGTAAGACTTGTTAGGGAGCTTGGAAAACAGTAGAATGGTATCCAGGGCATTCCTCTCCGATAATGTGCTCATTGTGATTAAGTGCACGTTGTATGTAGGGGTACACTGAGCTTTCTGTGGGGAATGAGCATTTGAAGACCAGCAGGGAGACACAGAGCAGCTGGAGGTTGTGCTGTGGGCAGGGTCTAAGGAAGAGCACTAGAAGAAGGAGGTAACGTGAGTCAGTCTGGCTCCAAGCTTAAGCTGGACAGCGAGAAGAGGCAGTAAGGCAGAGTTTCATGGATGGAAACTGAAGGGTATCGGGTGACTCACTGTCATCCCAAGGAGGAAATAAACTTGTGCTACATCGACCAGGGGCCAGGGCAAAGTTCAGCCTTTGAGGTCTTCACCATGTCTGGCATTTTGCATCTGGCTTTTGATCTGTAGTGGCAGACGTCTAAGAAGGGAGATTCCCCATGTAACGAATCACCAATGGGTACGGGAAATGGTGTCCACAAAGGTGGTGCACATAAATTCAGAGGTCCAAGTTGGGGAGGCACTGTTTGTATTAGTGAACACTGAATATGACCCAGTACTTAAGATCTTGAGATAGAGCTAGACTTTATTGATGACACTGTTAGATTCAAAGAAACAGAGTGGAAATTCCCAGCACATAAGGAAATATCAAAGGCAGTGAAACATTTCACAGGTAACCCAAGTGTTGAGTGAGGAGAGCATGCTTTGCTTCCCCTGTGGATCTACAGCATGTATCCTTGAATTGCTTAACTGCCAGCACATAAAAGCACTAATTATGAGCCTCTATTTTGTACAACCAGGACATAAGAATCATAAGTCCATAGTGCTTGAACAGGCTGGGACTAAAATGGTCAATTTGTTCTTGGCTTGATAAAACAATCCTATCATAAGACACCAAACAGCAATTTCTCATCTAAAAAACTTGCTAAAATTTAGATTATTTAGATATATGCAAATGCATATGCCAAGAGGAGATTGGTGATTTCTTTGGGCTAGCAAAAACACTGATTGTCTTTGGAGAATTTCCATTTCAAAAATAATTACTGAAATGCCTCCCTTAAATCCAAATGACCATTAAACAAATAAAAGACATTCAAACCCAATAAAAGCTACTGGAGTATACAAGCAAGTTAACGGGAAACTTTAGCATTTATAACTGTCAGCTTGGCCAAATATAGCTGGTGTGATACAGAAAAGGGTACTGTCACACTGAGCTGGTGGAAATGTGAATAATTACACGCACATTCACGTTAAGATGCAAGCTGGCAAAATCTACTGTAATGAAAAAAATGCACATATCCCTGGGCCTACAGACATAGAAATGTGGATCCCACTAAGTAAGGCTGTGCATGTGAAGGTGTTGAATGCTGTGTTGCTAACAGTGACAAGTGCATTGAAGAAACTGAGTACAGATCAATCGAGCAAATGTTGCGTTCACTCTGGCACACATGTATAGAATCCCAGCTAATGTCCCCAAGACAAATGAATCAGGACTAGCTCTGCCCACATGGAAAGGTTTCCACCAGGTACTCACTGAGAAGAAAGCCATATGGACAACACTGACTATGAACCTCTATTTTGTACAAGCTAGCTGAGTCGGATTGGTCTGTGTTTGTTAATAAGACACAAAGACTACTAAATAGTGTGAAATGAACTTCAATCTGTTTCCTTAGGATGGGAGAACTGCGCTGTTCATGTGCAAGTTCAGTATGCTTTTCCAAGGTAGCTGAGGAGCTGGAAAGGTAGAGGACCAAGAGCCTGGAGTTTAGCAAGGAAGGCTAGGCTATGTGACCTCACAGCAGTGGCCAGATTGTTGGCAGATCATAGGCCCTTTCCTGGTGCTTGGCCATTTTGAAGTTTTGTGTTAGCATTGCTAGGAACAGAGTTTCAGGGGAGTCTTGAGTCTTACATAGAATTCCATTAGCCCATAGTGTCTGTTAATTGCCTTTCCACCACTATAACAAATAACAGCGATATAATCAAATTACAAAGGGAAGAGGCTCCTTATGGCCTGCAGTTGTAGAGGTTTCAATCCATGGCTGGCTGGCTCTGTTGCTTTGGGACGGTGGTAGCATATCCTGGTGGAAGGATGGGGTGAATCAATCACTCCCTCATGTCCAGGAAGTGAAGGAAAGAGGAAGAAAGGGGTCTCATTAGCCTCTTCAAGTGCTCACCCTTGTAACCTAAAGACTTCCCACTCGGCTCCACTCTTTCAGGTTCTACTGCTTTCCAGCCAGGAGCTAAGCATCAACAAGAGACCTATGAGGGACGTTCAAGATCCCAACTAAAATAGAGTGTTCAGCTGACTGGCGTGGCTGTCCATTTTGACTTCTATATGATTATATCAGTATGGAGAACAGTAAAGGGAGGTGTATGAACACACAGTCATTATTATTGTATTGTTAGTAGTGGCGTGGGAAGCACAGACAGGGAAGTACCATTGATAAAATATCCATCTACATGTGTGTTTACATTTATAAGATAAATTGGAATAGAGAAGCAGCCTCGGACCTTGATCTTCTGGCCTGTAAGTTCATGCTCTATTGTCAAGTTAAAAAACAAAAAACAAGTTGCAGAGCCAGGCACAGTGGTACATGCCTGTAACTCCACAATCTCAGAGGCAGGAGAGGACCTGGGTTCAATGCCAGAGTAGGTTGAAAAGAAAAAAGAATTGCAAGATACTGAGTAGTTTCAACTTATTTTTCCTCCTGAATTTGTGTTCACAAACAAACATGCAAACATACAAGGTATGCCAAACACAGGCCTCAGTCCTTAGGGTAAGCCTGCCTATGCTACCTATTGTCTACACAGATTTTGTGCACCATACACAACTCTTGTTACAGAACACCTGCCATGTGCCAACTGGGGCTTGGCTTGGCTTGGTTTTGTCACTCAGCCTGTATTGTTATGGTCTGTGTAAACCTGACCTTCTTGCTCACTGGGGAAGAGAGTTTGTCTGGGTGGATGCAGAAGACTGTCAGAGTGGGCTGTATCATAGTTGGGAAAGGTGGGTTCTCTTGTGAGGGAGATTGGAAGGCACCCAGAGGGGACAGGTGGGTTTTGAGTATTGCCTTTTTTCCATAGGGTGGCATTAATACAAGTGTACCTCATGGAGGAATCTTCGTGAAATCCATCATTCCTGGAGGCCCGGCTGCCAAGGAAGGACAGATCCGACAGGGTGAGGGCCACGTCCTGTTGGGAGTTCTGCTCTCTGTGGTTTTGAACCCTGGCTGAGAGAGAGAGCTCAGGCCTTGCTCATGTCAACTCTAGAGCCCCCTGTCTCTCCAGGGCCTGATTTCTTTGCTTGGGAAGGGGAGGAAGATTTCATCTGCTTCACCTGCCTGATCAGTTGGCAGTGGTCTAAAGTTCATAATAAAAATTGAGTAGGAAATTTAAGAGAAGCTTGCTGCTGGGGGAGAGCATTGTTTCCTTAGGCAGATGGGGCCGATACTGGCGACCCCACTTTAGCATGGGGAACATCGTGAGCTGTGAGCTTCCTCTCTGCCCTCCCCCAGAAAAAAGAACTGGGATTGGTGACTCCACTTCAGGTGGGGGATATTGTGAGCTGCCCTCCCCTGGAAAGCAGACTTGGTGCTGGTGACCCCCCTTTAGCATAGGGGTACTGTGAGCTTTTTCTCTGCTCTGAATCCTTTCTTATTGCTCTGAAGGAAAGGAGTGATTTTTATTCTCCAAAACTGCCCAACAGAACCAGAAAAAGACACTAAAGATATGATTTATTTCTGTTTCTCCTTGAGTTCCAGTATTTCTAACATCAACTATTGTCTTCCCAACCTTTTTTGAAATAGAAAACATCCTGGGGATATAAATATTACCCCCGGGTGAGTTGAAGATGTTTTAAAAAATAGTTTCACAGGAAAGCAGGAGGAAAGATAAGGGTGACCAGACCTGGCTTGGCCATTCTGTGAGCCAATAATAGACAGGCTTTCATGTCCTTGCTCTGTTGTGTGCCCCAGAAATGGGCACAGGGCGTGCAGAGAGGCAGCTGATGCTCAGGCGCATGCAGGCTCCCACTGAGCCCAGGGCCCCCTGGCAGCTCTGCTTCTGGCCCCATAGGCAGGAGTCTGACAGGGAGTTGTTCTGGCACCCCTGGGGGACAGGGCATGTGACCAGCATTCCTTCCCCAGGTGACCGGCTCCTGCAGGTGGATGGAGTGAGTCTAAGTGGCCTCACTCACAAGCAGGCTGTGCAGTATCTCAAGGGTCCTGGGCAGGTGAGTACACCGTTACTGGGGACCTTTTCTTACTTCCAGAGCTTTCCAGAAGTCACAGTTGCCTCCAGGTGGGAGCGAGGCAGCCAAGAGACAAAACAGGACTTTTTTAGTCTCCTTTTTTCCTTTCTCACTCTTCATCTTCACACCATTTTCCTATGAGAATGTGAAAACCAGGAGGTAGCAGACAGATGTTCTAAAGTAGAAAACCTCACACCCTTTAAATAGATTTGGAAAGTCTATAGTTGCCTGCTTTGATTTGGGTCTCAGACAGCAGAGCAGACTGAGAGAGAGCACAGACTCCTGCAGGCTGGCTCTGGCTGTACCCCTGCCTGTGCCAACCCCACTGACCAGGGCCCCCACCTGCACTCAGGCCCTGTCTCTTTCACACTTTGCCCACAGTGACCCCCTTCTCCCTATTCACGCCCTTGTCTGTCGCCCTGCGCTTACACCCACCAGGACCTGAGCTGGGCTGTTCTGGGTTTCTGTTCACTACAGTGAGGTAGTGACTCAGTGATGCGGAGAGCTAGAGGTGCTCAGTGTGCCCTCCAGTCCATGTGATGCTCAGGCAGAGCCCCAGGACCGCCACAGGGCTCTGTCCTCTGCCTCACATTGGAGCCCTTTAATTGTTCCAGTCTCCCAAGCCACATATTTCTATGGCTTTCTCTTGGTGATAAAGGAGTTAACAGGGAGAGAAAAGATTTCAAGGGCCTTCTACCCAACTGCCAGGTATAGTTGCGGTCTCGCCTCACATCTGGAGAAGGGGTCATAATTAATTAACACTGTTTATTAGGCCTTCACTAATGCACAAGGCTAGAGGAACTATGTTTGGACACTGGCACAATGACAAGTAGGAATTGCCACTGTGGGGTCATAAGCCTGGTGCTGAATGACAATTGCAGCAGAAGGATGGAGCCAGGGTCAAGTGCCCCAAATGGAAGCTTGGCATTTCTAATAAGCATCCTGGTGATGTCCACTCACTGCATTTTGAAGCATTTTGGGTAACGAGAGCACGAGATGCTGTGGGAAAGGATAAGAAACCAAGCCAGGAAAAATGGAGGAAGGTCGATCAGCATGGGCCTGGGATGCCATTCTGTGGTTTTGGGATTCGGGTGATGGGAGCTATTGGGGCCTTTTAACTGATCATTGCAAGTTCAGTTTTGTGCCTTAGACCAGTGCACTTGTAGCCATGCTGGGAGTGGACCAAAGAAATGGAAATGGGCCAGCAAGGTAGGTCAGAGCTTGCTGCAGTGTTCCTGGCAGTGGAGAGGGAATGGAGATGTTCTGAGGGAGTCACTTTTTCTGGAGAACTCATAAGCCTTCAAATCAAACGCGCATGGAGGTGGAAGGGGGAGAACTGGATGACTCGAGTGTGACCCTTGAGAAGCTAATAGGGGCTGACTCCGAGGCCTGAAGGAACATGTACAAAGGGAAGGATACCTTAAGCAGAATGAGGAGGGGAGGGGAGAGCGAATGCAGGGGGAGGGGGCCAAGCCACTGAATGTGCCGACACCGAGGTACACACGTTACCTCCAGTGGCACTTGCCCAGTTACAGTCAGATCTGCCAATCTATGTCCCACAAAGAGCTAGACTAGAGACTTGGATTTGAGAATCAAATGAAGCAGCTTATTGGAAGCAGCAGAAAATTAAGAAGCATCTGTGGTTACCACATGAAGTATAAATTGAGTTTGTCCACTCATCTTTCTAGGTGGCACGGCTGGTCTTAGAGAGGAGAGGCCCCAGGGCTGCACCACAGTGTCCTTCTGATGATGACAGGATGGGAGATGAGCACGTGGCTGTTTCCCTGGTAACAGCCAGGTCTGGCAGACCTGTCATCTCAGTGACGGATGGTAAGAGGAGAGAGAATTGAGTGTTACTATTGTCATATCATTATATACTGCTTCAGAGGTGTCAAGTCAAAGAAGAAAGACAGGGAGGCTTCCTCTGGGCTAAATGAAATGTGTGGCTCATGATCATCATCCAAGCTGGTGGAAAACGGTCTTTGAAAAATGAAAATACATTGTGCCCAATTGACTACCACCAATGAGTCTGCTCCCAAGCCTTGTGCAGTTTCCTGATCACCCGCCTAAATATTAATATTTGTACATGAATATTTAGGGATGAAATGGACATAAAAGGGTCAGGCATTTTCAGATACAATTAGTTCTACATTCCAGCCAGGCACTTGCAACAGAGACATCCTAGGACTGACTGGGCAGACTGAGAGATAAGGCCGTCAGGAATTTAACCTTGTTAGCAGCATCCTTTAAAAGGTCATAGCCGTGGCCAGCCTAGAGGGACATACTGCATCTCTTGAGGGGCTGCCTCTCTGCATGTCTGTGTGATTTTGTTTCCTGCCAGGAAAGTCCATAGAACATTATGGGTTGGAGCTTAACCGTATCTCACTCCTTCCATGGGGATAGTTATGGTCATGCTCCAGAAGCTGTGAGGCAGGTTGGAGGCATGGTGATGCTATCATCCTTAAACCAAGGCTGCCCTTTCTCCCCTCAACTCCTCTGTGTACTGCAAATGGGACCTGTGAACAATGAGCTAAACACTGAGCAGCTGAGGCCAGTGTGCCAATGCAGACATGCTCAAGCCGCAGACCTCACTCTCCACTTGAGCTGTTTTCATCTTGACCCAGTGAAAATTTCCAATTCCTGGCCCTGTCACTCCGTTCACTGATTACCTTCTAAATTAGTGAAGACAAACCAGGAGAAGCCCGGAGGCTGCCGTTGGTTACTAGACTCCCTAGATGCCCAAGGCTGTGTCCATCTCTGGCAGACCGGAAGTGACGGGTCTTATGGTCAGTGTACATGGCCAAACAAAATGACAGGGAGAACATTCTTCAGAGTTGACCGCCATTGCCCCCATGGTCTGTTTACATTAAACTTCATGCTGCACATACCAAACCACGATTAAGATCCCACATCACAAACTTTACTGGATGCTATACGCAGACAGGTGTATGTCTAAAGCTCCATCCTTACATACACATCTAGTTGTTTATATTTAAACACTTAGTATGGCAGCCATGTGTGACTGACAGTTGAGCATTTACAATGTGGCAATCCAAATGGATGGAGGGAACTAGAGTGCAAAGATTTAGTCTACCAGAAGAATGAAGAGGAGCTCGATCACCATTTGTGTGCACTCCATACCGATGAGGTAGTAGTTCAGATATGCAGACAGTCTCTAACACGGCATGACAACGAGGGTGTAAGAGTCACACATATTCCAAAGGGACCGTACTTTGAGCTTGAGTCTCTCATTAAGATGCTGGGAAGTGGTGGTGAGATGGGGCTTAGTTCCACAGTTGCCAGGGGAAACTGCCCTGGGCTGTGTTGCTAAAGTAGGATGCTGGGAAGGTTAGGTTCATTCAGTGCACTCTCAACACAGTCTTCCCCATAGGATTTACCAGGATGTAATCCCCTTGTAAATTGAAGAGCACCTGTATTGAGTTAAATACAATACATAATTTAACCTTATTTTACCTGTTTCCTTTTACTTTTAAAACATGTAGCTACTGGAGAGCTTTGAAAGAACCTTTATGGTTTGCATTTACAACTTAGATTCTTTCTGTGGGCAACACTGATCTGTCATGTGTGTGATGGACTCCATCATCAAAGTTAGCCCATGAAATACTTCTCTGCAAGACAGAAGCCATTCATCTCCTCGACACGACTCACTGGTCGAGGCCAGCCAGTTGCCACCCACCGAAGGGTCAATTTTCATGAACTCCCATGTTACAGGTCCTAAGTTTGAAGTCAAACTGAAGAAGAATAGCAGTGGTTTGGGATTCAGTTTCGTGCATATGGAGAGAGGAAACTGCAGCCACCTCAAGAGCGACCTCGTAAGGATTAAGAGGCTCTTTCCTGGACAGCCAGCTGAAGAGCATGGAGCCATTGCAGCTGGTGACATTATCCTGGCAGTGAATGGAAAGTCCATAGAAGGCCTTGCCTTCCAGGTGCTCAGAGCCATGAGGGTGGGGAGCTGGGGGTGGGGAGTAGAGATCTGGATGTGAGCTGGGGGTGGGGGAGTACAGATCTGGATTTGAGCTGGAAGTGGGGAGTACAGATCTGGATGTGAACTGGGGGTGGGGAGTACAGATCTGGATTTGAGCTGGGGGTGGGGGGTACAGATCTAGATTTGAGCTGGGAGTTGGGGGTGGAGATCTGGATGCCTGCTGATGTAAGTCATGTTTCTTTGAGGACCATCCCCACAGAGAATACTTTGGGTTCTTGGAATTTTCACCTGAATCTGGGCTTGGAGCCCACAGAAAGCAATCAAAAGGATGTATTTTCTATCTCAGTTTAAAAATATCTGACCTTGAGTAAGCATTGCTCTCCAGTAGGCCCCTCAGTGAACCTGGACCTAAAACCCAGCTTGTGTGCTGGCTAAAGGTCTCTGTGCATTCTAGGAGGTGAGGTGAAGCTGGAGGGACTAAGGATGGTCCCTTTCCACTCTCCCTGAGATTCATGGGTGGAATGTGGAGCTTTGCATGCATAGTGTAGCATAGACTGTCCCTCCTGTGGTCAGAAATGTGAGGGGCTGGAGAGATGGCTCAGTGGGTGAGAGCATGTACTGTTTCACAGAGAGCCTGAGTTTGGTTCTCAGCACCTGTGTCCAGGAGCTCGCAAATTCCTGTAACTCCAGCTCCAGATTGCATTCACATGTACATACTCACAAAGAGACATACAGGCGTAAACGTAGTTACAAATAAAAATAATATGAGAGTGAAGGTGTGTATGTATGTGTGTGTGTGTGTGTGTGTGTGTGTGTGTGTGTGAGAGAGAGAGAGAGAGAGAGAGAGAGAGAGAGAGAGAGAGAGAGAGAGAGAGAGAGACTTGTAATACAAAATGTGAAGGAAATGTCTGTGTTAGTTGGAGTATTGGCAGAAAACAGTCATTTGAAGAGACTTTAATAATGGTGTGAGCATGTTGTTGGGAAGTTAGAGGTGAGTATGGTGATGTGGAGTGCAGCTGTCCACCTTTCCCAACTCCAAAGGGGACGGGAAGGAGCAGCTACCCAGCCGTAGAGACAGAATGGGCGACAAGGGCTCACTGGTATGTCAGAGGCCCTCACTGAGGGACGTAAGCATCCTGTGATGACCCAACAGAGGGGGGCAGCAGCCAACACCACCTTTCCTCTCTTCTCTGTCCCTCGCTCCAGCTGAGCCCATGTGGATGCTTCATGCAGCCCACACAGGGCGTGCCAAAGCAGGGTGTTCAAAGGCAGAAAGTAGCTTGAGTGGGATGGGGGTGGGGGTCTGTGCAGTTCCTGGAACCGCATGAGTTTAGATGGGAAGGCCTGTCTTCAGATGTTTGACCCAAGTGCAGATCTCTAAGCCACTTCTGGGGAACTGCAGTCCCAAGGACTGTAGATATGGGGGGCAGTGAGGAGACTGCGCATCCTCAGGGGTCCTGATGGGGCTGAGAAAGATAGGAAAACGGCAGACGCTACAGAGGAGGGACCATGGAAGAAGAGTCCAGGCTTTCGTGTACATACCCAGGTGCCAGGCTGTGAGTTCTCTGCCACTGTGACAAAAAGCCCGAGAAACCTGACTTGAAAAAGGGAAGTCTGGCTTTGTCTCATAGTTTCAGGGGTTTTAGTCCGCGATTGTTCGGTTCCACTGGCTCAGGGTCTCTGGTGAAGCAGACTTTATGGTGGGGAGTGTGTGGGAAAGTGAAGCTTCTCTCCCTCGTGGCAGCTGAGGTGGAAAGAAGGAGGGAGGGAGGGAGGAGGGGAGAGAGAGACAGAGAGAGAGAGAAGAGAAACAGAAAAACAGAGACAGAGAGGAGACAGAGACAGACAGAAATAGAGATAGAGAGACAGAGAAAAAGAAAGACACAGAGAGACCCAGTATCCCCTTCAAAGGTACAGCCCAACTAGGCCCCACTTCCTGTAGATCTCATCGCCTCGCAACAGCACCATGAGCTGGGGACCAAACCTTTGTCACATGAGCCATTGGAGGACATTCCAGATATAAACTTGAAGAACATAATCAATGGCAGACCTGGGCAGCTGAGGGGACATTGTGGAGCATCTGGATCAGAGGTTCTCCAGGAGGCTAGATGTTGCCTCTCGTGGGACATTTGGTGAATCCTGAGACAGTTATGGTTGCTACAACTGATCGGAGCTGCTGTCATCTTGTGGGTGGAGACTAGTGAGGCTGCCGAACACCCTTTGACACACCGGGCATGGGTCCCAACAAAGAATTATTGTTTGTTTGCCCCAAATGTGGAGAAGGCGGGGAGGTTGAACGATCCTGGTGTGGATAGGAAATGGAAACTAGACAGGCACCGTGTGCTCCGGCAGGGAGAGCGTGGCTTGAGCACAGGTTCGGGACTGGGGAAGCTTAGGCTGTGTGACAAAGATGAGCAGCGGGAAAGAGCAGCTGGAAGGCAGTGGCAGCAAATGCAGGTTCTGTGATCTGAGTGGTTGGGTGAGGGGGGAGGCGGCTCAGCAGGAGAGTGGTTTGGGAAGATTACCCCTGGGTCATGGAGAAGGCAAGGATCAGAGATGACATCATTGCAGTTCCACAGGGGAGCAGCTCTAGGGCCTCAGTCTCATTAGGAAGAGATTCCCGAAGGCCTCCATGTGATGAGGCTGCTGTGATGAGGCTGCTGTGATGAGGCTGCTGTGATGCTGCTGTGATGAGGCTGCTGTGATGCTGCTGTGATGAGGCTGCTGTGATGCTGCTGTGATGAGGCTGCTGTGATGCTGTTGGTGGCTCCTGGCTCCTGAGTATTTGGGGAGTTAAAGCTTACAATGGTGTTTCCCCAAGTTCCCTGGAGCCAAGCTGTAGGTCAAGGCAGGGGAGGCGGGCGGTCCCCTGGGAGCAGTGAAGAGCACAAAGCAGCAGCTCCCAATGAGGCCACCCCAGACTTGACTGTGACTGGGTTTCTTGTAGGAAGTGCTCCATTTACTGCGTGGGGCTCCAGAGGAAGTGACTCTCCTCCTCTGCCGACCCCCTCCTGGGACACTACCTGAGATGGAGCAGGGATGGCAGGTAAGACATGGGTCCTTATCTCTCCTCACTTATCAGCCACTCACTTTGCAGCCTGGTGGTCCCGAAAGGGCCATCACTACTTTTTTTTCTTTGGAGGGGGGGGGGGCGTGGGGTGGAACAACACCAGCCCTTACCACTGCGGCAGGAAAGCATCTGCCCCTCAAACCTTAGTGCATCATTTTTTCTCCCTGTTCCCTTCCCCCCCAGTCCCCCGGGCCTCCTTATAGATGTATAGAAAGTGGTTAGACTTTGGTCATCCAAGTTCTAGGCTGTATCCTCCGGCATTCTGAGCACAGAACCAAGACAAAAGAACTTCCAGTAGGAGTTTCCACACTGAGGAATAAAATGTATACCCACCTACCTAAAGCCTGAAACAGACAAGTATGGTTGGGGCAGAGGTGAGAGCCACAGGGACCACAGAAATGTGGGGGCTTTACCTGGATGTGTGTATTAGTCTGGTTCCTCAGAGAATCAGAACAAAGAGAAAGATAAAGGATGGGTGGATGGGTGGGTGGGTGGATGGATGAGTAGGTGGGTGGACAGACAGACGGACGGACGGACAGACAGACAGATAGGGTACTTATTGTAAGGCATGAACATATAGTTCTGAGGCTGGCCAGTGTGAACTCTACAAGGCCACCCAGCACGCTGGAGACCTGGGAAGTTCAGACTGGCGCAGAGAGGGGCAGGCGGGGCAGAGCAGCTGGAGAAGGTGGCAGTTTGTGAACATGGGTTCTGTGTGGTGAGCTGTGTGGTGGAGGCAGGGTGGTTGGTAGTCTGGAGGTGGAATTCCCTCTTTCTGGGTGAAAACTATTCTTCATTCCCCAAGACTTCTGCTGATTGGGTAATGCTCTCCATAGCCTGGAGGGTACGCTTTTTGCTCAGAAGCTACTGATTTTAGCATTAACTGCACAGAAAAAAAAAAACATTTATAGTGATATCAATAGTGGTGTTTAAAAAATATCTGGGTACCCTGGCCTAGTCACATTAACATATGAAATGATCTGTCAGCTACTGGGGACTACCTGCTCGGTCTCTGGGAAATTGACTCTTTGACAGAGACTTGAGGACAGGGAGCCTATGGGCCTGGCCCACTGGAACATCACCTGTGTGGGTCAGGGAGCTGTCCTCAGCAGAGGAGGAGGTCAGTGTACAGACCTAACGGGCCTTGGCTGACTCCACAGGAGCTCTGGAGCTGAGATGGCCTCTGGTACCTGTCCAGAATAGCACACTCTCATTAGAGGATGCACTGGTGGTAGGGATGAACCCTAACTTTACTGAAGCATCTCCCTTAAGCTGAGTGCAGCTCCTGGGTGGTGAGAAAGTATGGCCATGAGCTACCAGCTGCTTTCCCTGAGCACGTGGAGGAGAAGCGATAGTTTCTGGTACCACAGAAAATGGAGATGCTTTTAGTATAGACGTCTATCAAGTAGCTGTTTGTGAAGAACAAGTATGAGGTCCAGGCTAGAAAAAATGAGTACATAGACTTATATAAAGGCATGGAATGGTGGAGTCCATCCCCTCCTTGGAACGTGAAGAACTATAAAAGCATGGAATGGTGGAGTCCATTCCCTCCTTAGAACGTGAAGAACTGAGCACTGAGAGGTCTGGTATACAGAGCTGGGGCTGAGGAGAGGGGCATGAGAAGAGGTAGGAACAGGCAGCAGTGGGTATCTCATACACAGAGTGTGAGTGAGGGTGCTTCTGCTAAGCAGGATGTACGAGTGAAGGCTGTTCCTGAAAGCTAGAGAGGGAAAAGGGCAGAGAAGTGCCCTGGGGATTCAGGAAAGAAATGACTGGAGACATTCCCCTCCAAGTTTGCCACAAGGTAGAGCAAAGGAGTGGATGGCTGGTAGGGGAGAGGTGGGTGGGGTCGGGGTACAGGCTGACCAGTAAGAATGTGTGGGAGAGGGAGGATTCTTGTCTAATGTATTGCTCTTGTTGTGAAGTCAGAGGGGTAGTGGGAGGAAGTTGGTGGGGGCTTGAGAACATGGAAGATCATCTATAGGAAACAGAACTGATGCTGAGAAAGGTTATCTGGAAGCCTTGCATGAGCACAGGCATCTGCAGCCACATCTCTGGCATTCACAGGGCCAGAGGCTTGGCAGCAGCTGGGAGGGCCACACAGTTTCACTGGGAACTGGACAGAACTTGCACTGTGTGCAAGTAACAGAGGTGGAAGCCGAGGAGAGCAGGGGGAAGGTGGGGATCTTCTTTGAGAGAGAGAGAGAGAGAGAGAGAGAGAGAGAGAGAGAGAGAGAGAGAGAGATTATGCTGGGGAGGAGGCAGAGTCCCAGGGAAGTGAGGATGTAGGTGTTGGGAAAACAAAAGGCATTGGTGATCACAGGAAGCTTTGACTGACAGCTGTGGGAGGGTGTCTGGGGTGGAGAGAGAGCAAGAGCTTGAAGGGAGAGTCATTGGAAACTGCTCTCTTTATTTTTTAAAATCTCCATTTCAGATTTTGATTTTCCTTATACCCTTTATACGAGGCACAGTCTACCAGTGAGGGACTGGTTTTGATTTATAATTCAAATGTGCGTTTTAGGGGTATTCCTTTCTCTTGGTGGTGGTGGTGGTGGTGGTGGTGGTGGTGGTGGTGGTGGTGGTGGTGGTGGTGGTGGTGGTGGTGGTATGTGTGTGTGTGTGTGGTATGCTACCACAAACGCTCACCCAAGGAAGGATCCTTGGTGGGGGATACGAAGCTTTCTCTGCTCAATGAGACCAGCCCTGTGCTCTGTGATGGAAGGGAGTTGATTGTAGGGTGTGAATGCTGACCTAGTTTTCAGGAAAATGTAAAATCCTAATTTCCATACAGTTATAAATATTAACACATGTATAACCCATTCAAAGAGGGAACCATGCAGATGTAAAAATGGTTCAAAAGAGATGTCAAAGACCAGCGTGTTCATTTATGGAGTTGAAAAAGGTTTCGATAGCACTAGGTTTCCAGATCCCCAATGCTCCCCACCCCCACAATTCCAGTCATCCTTCCCTGCATTCTCTCTCTTCACTCCATCTCCCTCCAGCCTGATTCCCCACTCCCCAAGTCCACCCATAAAATATATCCTATTTCCTCCTCCCTGGGAGATCCCTGTATCCTCTCCAGACCCCTCCTTTTTACCTAACCTCTTTGGGTCTACTGATCATAGCTTGGTTATCATTTACTTAGCTGGCAATATCCCCTTATAAGTGAATATATACCATATTTATCTCTCTGGGTCTGGATTACCTCACTCAGGACAATTTTTTTTTCTAGTTCTATCCATTTATCTGCAAATTTCATGATGTCTTTTTTTTTTAAGCTGACCAATATTGCAATACTTCATTATGTAAATATACCAGATTTTCTTCATCCATTGTCCTGTTGAGGAACATCCAGATTGCTTCCAGTTTTTGGCTAATTTTTTTTTGAGACAGGATTTCTCTGTGTAGCTTTGGAGCCTGTCCTGGAACTTGTTCTATAGACCAGGCTGGCCTCAAACCTCACAGAGATCTGCCTACCTCTGCCTCCTGAGTGCTGGGATTAAAGGTGTGCACCACCACCACCACCACCACCACCACCTGACAGTTTTTGGCTATTATGAATAACATGAGAATGAATATGGTTGAGTAAGTGTTCTTGTGGTATGCTTGAGCATCCTTTGGGTATATGCCCAAGAGTGGTATAGATTGATCTTGAGGTAGATCGATTCCCAACTTTCTGAGGAACCACTGTATTGATTTTTATAGTAGCTGTATAAGTTTGCACTCCCACCAGCAATAGAGGAGTGTTCCCCTTGTTCCACATCTTTTCCAGCATGAGGTCTTGAGGTAGATCGATTCCCAACTTTCTGAGGAACCACTGTATTGATTTTTATAGTGGCTATATAAGTTTGCACTCCCACCAGCAACGGAGGAGTGTTCCCCTTGTTCCACATCCTTTCCATCATGAGCTATCACTTGTGGTTTTGATCTTAGTCATTCTGACAGGTGTAAGATGGAATCACGGAGTTGTTTTGATTTGCATTTCCCTGATGGCTAAGGATGTTAAACGTAAGTGTTTCTCAGTCATTTGAAATTTGTCTATTGAAAATTCTCTGTTTAGATTTGTTTCCCACTTTTAAAAAAAAAAGATTTATTTATTTATTATGCATACAGTGTTCTGTCTACATGTATGCCTGCACACCAGAAGAGGGCACCAGATCTCATTATAGGTGGTTGTGAGCCACCACGTGGTTGCTGGGAATTGAACTCAGGACCTCTGGATGAGCAACCAGTGTGCCCTTAACCTCTGAGCCATCTCTCCAGCTATGTTCCCCACTTTTTAATTGGATTATTTGGTTTGTTTATTTTTTTACATCTAGTTCTTTATATATTTTGGATATTGGTCTTCTATAAGAAGTAGAGTTGGCACAAGTCTTTTCCCATTCTGTAGGTTTCGTTTTGTCTTATTGACAGTGTCCTTTACCTTACAGAAGCTTTTCAGTTTCAGGAGGTCCCATTTATTAATTGTTAGTCTTAGTGCCTGTGCTCTTGGTGTTCTCTTCAGGAAGTTGTCTCCTGTGCCAATGTGTTCATATGTGTGTGGATTTATGTCTGGGTCTTCAGTTCGATTCCATTGATCAACAAGTCTGCTTTTATGCCAATACCATACAGTTTTCATTACTATAGCATTGTAGTATAACTTGAAACCAGGAATGGTGGGACATCCAGCAGGACTTTTATTTTTCAGGACTGTTTTTGCTATCCTGGGTCTTTTGTTTTTCCATATGAAGTTGAGAATTGTCCTTTCAAGGTCTGTGAAGAATTGTGTTGGAATTTTGATGGAGATTGCCTTGAATGTGTAGATTGCTTTTGGTAGGCTAGTGATTTTTACTATGTTAATCCTACTGATCCATGAGCATGGGAGATCTTTCCATTTTCTCACATCATCTTCTATTTCTTTCTTCACAGAATTGAAGTTTTTAATCATACAAGTCTTTCACTTGCTTGAGTAGAGTTACCCAAGATATTTTATATTATCTGAGGCTACTGTAAAAGGAGTTGTTTCCCTGATTTCTTTCTTTTCTTTCCTTTTTTCTGTTTTTAGTTTTTTGAGACAAGTTTCTCTGTGTATCCCTGGCTGTCCTGAAAATAGCTCTGTAGACCAGGCTGGCCTCGAACTCACAGAGATTCCCCCTGCCTTTGCCTCCCAAGTGCTGGAATCAAAGGCGAGCACCACTAATACATAGCCTTCCCTGATATCTTTTTCCGTGTTTGTCATTTGTATATAAAAGGGCTACCGATTTTTTTTTTTTGCATTAAACTTGTATCTAACCACTTTGCTGAAAGTATTTTTCAGCTGTAGGAGTTTCCTGGTAGAATTTTTAGGGTCACTTATGTATACTATCATATCATCTGCAAATAAAGATACTTTGACTTCTTCCTTTCCAATTTGTATCCCCTTGATCTCCTTCAGTGGGATTATTGCTTTAACTAAGATTTCAAGTACTATATGCCCCACGAACTATTCTGGTTTCCATGTTCTTTCTTTGCATCACTTTCTTGCATTTTGGCGACATTAGTAATTAAAATTAACCCAAGCACCACAGTACTATATAGCTGATTCAGCCCAAGAAAGCAGTTGGTGATGAAATGGGCAGGTAGTGGACATAACATGGAAACACCAGAAAAAAGGGATGACCCATGTGCTGAGCAGGCTGTAGCAAGAGGACAGTTTGAGAGTTTGTCATGCTGCTCAGAACAATGTGCAGTTTTTTAAATTATGCATAAATTATTTCTAGCCTTTTCTGCTTTAACATTTTTGACTCCAGTAAACGAAATCTTGGAGAACAAAATTATGGGTAAGAGCAGCTACCAAATATATTTCCATTAAAAACAGTGCTCAGATACACAGCTCTCCAACTATGGTACTTAACAAGGATCCATATGTTGCCCAGGTCACAGTATAGAGACCTTGACTGTAGAAAGGCTGATTGCAAAGTCTCTCTATTTATAGCTCAGACCCAAAAGCACCTGGAAAAATTAATGATTTTTTTCAAAAAATTGTTTTAATTTTAAAAATTATATGCATGTGCATAAGTCTGCCTGTGGGTAAGTGCATATGAGCACAAGTGCCTGCAGGTCAGAAAAGGCCATCAGATCCCCTGGATCCGGAGTTTCAGGTCATTGTTAGCTGCTTGATGTGGATTCTGAAAAACGAATCCTGGTCCTCTGCAAGACTAGCATATGCTGTTAGCCACTGTGCCATCTCTTCAGTCAAAACTTTTTTCTTTTCTTTTCTTTTCTTTTCTTTTCTTTTCTTTTCTTTTCTTTTCTTTTCTTTTCTTTTCTTTTCTCTTCTCTTCTCTTCTCTTCTTTCTTTCTTTCTTTCTTTCTTTCTTTCTTTCTTTCTTTCTTTCTTTCTTTCTTTCTTTCTTTTTTTCTTTTAGAGACAGGCTTTCTCTGTGTAGCCCTGGCTGTCCTGGAACTCTGTAGATAAGGCTGACCTCAAACTCAAAGATCCGCCTGTCTCTGCCTCCCGGATACTGGGATTAAAGGTGTGTACAACTACCACCCAGCACAGCCCCAAACTTTTTATTTCCTAAATGTTGTTTAGAGTTTCTTTCATGTGTGAGATTAGCATTGGTAACCATTCATGTATTTCTTTAATAGACCCCTGAACTATCAGCAGACCAAAGATTCACCATGGCAACGTGCACTGAATCAGAGCAGAGCCCCAGCCTAGATCAAGAGGACAGCTGGAGGGACAGTGCTTCCCTGGACACAGGGGAGGGCCTGGCTCCCAGGCCAGAGTCTTCCTACAAGGCTGTCAGAGAGGCGAAAGGGGACCAAAACAGGCAGGGAGCCTGGGCCAGGTCCTTGATGCACCCTATGGAATCCCATCCTCATGTGTGCAAACTCCACCAGGAAGCAGAGGCCCCAGCGTTGGCTACCTCTTTGGAAAAGGATATGAGACAGAACTGCTATTCTGTGTGTGATATCAGGAGACTGGGAAGGTAAGAGTTGCCTTATGTGCACGCATTTTGTAAGCTGTGTGTATTGTATTGCCAGCTGATTACAATAGCAGATACCTACTATAGAGAGGATTATTGTGCCCAGCACCATTCCAGGCATTTGAGGGGAGTAAGAAGCTATAGAAGCCTGTGGCTTAAGTTACTACAACCTGGAAACTTTGGGAAAAAGCGAACTCCATCCAGATGACAATCATCCCCAATATGTCCTAGCGGTTGTTGATGGCAGGCCTTGTGTCCTCTCCCAGCACCCAGTGTATATCCTGCACTCCCATGGCCTCTGTAGTCGCTGTGGTACAAAGTAAGACCTTGTGCATATGCTCACCTCTATTGATGATATAAACCTTTATTACCAACACTACCTGGAAATAGATTTCTACTCCCCAAACCAAGGTGAAACCTCCATTTCAGTTACTATTTTTTTATTTAGTCTGTAATTCCGTGCCTACCCACTCTTAAGTATTTCTAGTTTTGATTCCTTTTCTCATGAAACAAACTTTTCAATTCAGTTTGAAGGCTATTTATGATATACGTATACCTTGAACCTTGTTAGGGAGCAGAGATGGAGAGGGAGAAAAAGTAGTTCAGAGGGAGGCAGGCTGTGTTTCTGCTGCTAGGCATTTGTAAGCATGCATGGACATGAACAGGCGACAGCCAGGAGTAGTAATTTGTGTTTGAAACTATATAAAGCTGTTGGGATTCTGTGACTCTCTTTTCTGGTCATTGTAACAGAGTGGTAAGAGTAGACCCACAGGGACTGATAGGTAGCAGGATGCACTCAACCATCTGTGTCTATAGGTTCTGTATTTGTATGTCCAACCAACCCTAGATTGAAAAGATTAGAAAATGCACTAGTACTGCACATATATAGATGTTTTGGTTATTTTCTAAGCAATATAGCATAACAGCTATTTATAAACCATTTTTATTGTACTAGTTACTATAAATGATTTAGAAACGAGTAAGTATTTACAACGGGATGTCTGTAGCTGATACACAAGCACATACTTCATTTATATAGGGGGCTCCAGCATCTGGGGATCCTGGTCTCTCTCTCTCTCTCTCTCTCTCTCTCTCTCTCTCTCTCTCTCTCTTTCTCTCTCTCTCTCTGTCCTAGAAGCAATCTCAGATGTGTATAGTGAGAAACCATTGTATGCCGCAGAAGTCAGGATGGCACAGCTGGGCTCTGGGAGAACTGTAGCAAACAGAGGCCAGGTTTACAGTACCTAAAGGCATCCAGATACACCTTTTTAAAGAATGCTATGTGTAGCTAGAGTTTTCCTGCCTGGCCCACAGTCAGGACAAATCTTTGTCACCCACCAGTCCCACAGCCGCTCAGACCCGACCAAGTAAACACAAA